GCCGCGGCCGGTGAGAGCAGCAGTCCCACTCGCCACTCCAGACGTTCCGGGCGCAGCCAGGGCGAGTCCGGCGCGCAGACAGGCCTGGGGCCGCTGGGGCTCAGGGCGGCGAGTCAGGGTCTCTCTCCTCAGCGGTAAAAGGGGCTGGGAGGCTCCCGCGCGGGTGTGCAAGGAGCCCTCCTGCCGTGAGTCGGGGTCGCGGGGACCCTTCGGGAAGGCAGCCGCCTCTGTCATCCCGCCCACACGCGCCCCTCCTGGGCTGCCCCAGAGAGCCTTCCCGCCGCTGCGACCCCGGTGGGCTGGGTCGCGCGGAGGAGGGGTCCGGCCCCCTCGGCCCCGCCCCTGAGCCCTCCCATCTCGACCTCACTGGAGCCGGAACCTGGCCACCCTTGTCGCCGCCTCCGGGGAGCCCAGAGGGGCCCAAACTCTGCGGGGAGGGTCCTCCCTGCGGCCGGGGTCTGGGGGCGCACACACGCGGTTGTTTCCTCCGAGAAAGTGGGGCGCGAGCGAGGCCCGGGCGGGTCTCAGGGCCTGGCGGACCCAGCGCCGTTCGCAGCGTGAAAACCCCGGGAACGGTGCTCTGGGTGCCGGGGGGCCTGGCTCCGCTGGCGCCGACCCTCCGCGGGGCAGCCACGCCCGGGCCCCGCAAGTGCGGCGCCGGCTGAGGAGGCCTGGAGAGAGACCCCACCACCCCCTGCCCAGGGCTGCGCGCACCCGAAGCCCGGCCTGCCCGAGCTCGCACGCGAGGTGGGGCAACCATCCCACTCCCGCCCAGCACGCGGCCAGCGACTTTCCGAGCCCCGGTCCGGTGTAGGGACTCAGGCCCCGCCGCCAACTGAACACAGCACAACGAAAACGGACCCCCGAGGGTCGCGGTGCGAGCGGATGTTGGGTCCTCGCGCAGAGCCGCGGGGGTCGCCTTCGTGCGCGCCACCGAGATCCGGGAGGCCGGAGGGAACCGGGGAAGTCGTTGCGGACGGACCGCACGAGGCTCCGAGGGCCCGCCTGGCGCAGCCCCTCCCTGCCGCCACGAAAGGGCTGTCGGTTCGAGGACGTTCGGTCACGGCTTCAAACGGGCAGCGGACAATATTAATATCCTCCACTTATTAATACGTGACGCCACCCAAAAGGACGAAAAACGCCACCGCCCAGCGTTCATTTACTCAGCGCCTCTCCACCAGCGCTCGGAGCCCACCGCGGCCTCATCGGAACCCACAGCAGCTCTGGGGGGGGGGCTTTTTGTGCCCAGAAGGCACCGCGGGCCCCACCTGCCTGTCTAAAGGCCGCGACTCTGCGCCGCGCTTCGGGCGAACCCACCGGGGAGGCCCTGGACGCAGCCCACAGGCCGTGCGCTTTCAGGGTGCTGAGGCTGCGAGGGTTCGCGTTACCCTGGCTCAGGCTGCGCGCAAGGGGGGCCGGCCCTGGGCTCGCCCGCGAGGCTCGGAAGGAAGCTCCGTTCTCAGGTTGACTCCCCCGAACCCGGCTGCAACTCAAGCCCCAAACGTCCGCTCTAGAGGCCCGGACCGTCCGGGCGGTCCAACCTGGCAGAGGACAGGCCTGCGGGCTGGGAGCGGACGGGGAACCGCCCGGCAGCGTGTGCGCACGTGGCCCCGGGACTGGCCTCGCCACCGCGCCAGCCGTTTGCCAGTGAAGATAGAGCAGATTCGCGAGGGCCAAGTTTGGCCACTCGGGCCCGGTACTCTGACCTCCGGTTTCCTCCGTCGCCCGTATGCGTCCCCGAGAGTCCCCCGGAGAAATGTTGGCAGCTCTCCCCCGACTTGAGCGGGAGTGCCAGGGGAACGGCGGGGCGGGCGCTGGCCGTGTCCCACGACGGCTCCTGCTCTCCGGGGGCGCTTGGCCTAATGGGGCGCATGGGAATTGACGAGTGGGTCCTCAAATCTGCATTCTTTCGGGCGATAAAATATGCTCTCGTATTTTTTCCTGATTTCCCATTAAAACCTGTGCCTAACTAAACTCCCATCCAACGGGATTTATTTCGTCCCGGGGGAGATAAATCGGGCAAATTTACAGCCCGGAAGGCACCTGCCGCGTTAATGGGCCCTTCATGGAGTGCGCGGCCCGCGGGGGCGCGCGGCGGGCGGGGCGCTGGCCAATGGCCGGGCCGCGGGCGCCCGCAGCCAATCAGCGCGCGCGCCGCGCCGGGGTCCCGCGGTTATCAGCGCCTCCGGCCCGCGCGGCGCCGCTCCGACCAGCCCCGGAGCCGCGGCCCGCGCTCGCCGTCCCCCGCCGCCTCCTGGCCCGACTCGAGCCCCGCGCTCGCCCTCCGGGGCCGTCGGCGCCCATTCGCGCCCCGCGCTCCGTGAAGCCGCGCCCGCTTGGGCCACGTGCGAACTTCCCGGGCCGGATGGGCGCCCGGGCCGGCGGCGGCGGCGCCCATGGACGCTAACCGCCCGGGCGCGTTCGTGCTGAGCAGCGCGCCGCTGGCCGCGCTGCACAACATGGCCGAGATGAAGACGTCGCTGTTCCCGTACGCTCTGCAGGGCCCGGCCGGCTTCAAGGCGCCCGCACTAGGCGGCCTGGGCGCGCAGCTGCCGCTCGGCACCCCGCACGGCATCAGCGACATCCTGGGGCGGCCCGTGGGCGCGGCGGGCGGCAGCCTCCTGGGAGGCCTGCCCCGTCTCAACGGGCTCGCCTCGTCGGCCGGCGTCTACTTCGGGCCCGCGGCCGCCGTGGCGCGCGGCTACCCTAAGCCGCTTGCGGAGCTGCCCGGGCGGGCGCCCATCTTCTGGCCCGGCGTGGTGCAGGGCTCGCCCTGGAGGGACCCGCGCCTGGCCGGCCCCGGTGAGTGGCGCGCGCGGGAGTCGGCGCGGGGCGTGGGGCGGCGGCGGCGGCGGCGGCGGCCGCGCTTACCCGCTCTCCTGTGCAGCCCAGGCCGGCGGGGTCCTGGACAAGGACGGCAAGAAGAAGCACTCGCGGCCGACCTTCTCCGGCCAGCAGATCTTCGCGCTGGAGAAGACTTTCGAGCAGACCAAGTACCTGGCGGGCCCGGAGCGCGCGCGCCTCGCCTACTCCCTGGGCATGACCGAGAGTCAAGTCAAGGTGAGGATTCGCGGCCGGGCGGCCTTGCGGGTCCCGCGGCACCAGGTAGACCCTCCCGCCCGCCTCGTGCGAACCGTCCGCCAGCGGCCGCCAGCCTTGGCCCAGCCCCGGGAGGCGCCGCTGCCCTGAGGCCAGGGTGGGGGCCGAGGTGCGGGCCGCGGGCCAGGCGGCTCGGGAGGCGCCGCCTGATGCATTCCTGCGCCCGCAGGTGTGGTTCCAGAACCGGCGGACCAAGTGGCGCAAGCGGCACGCGGCGGAGATGGCGTCGGCCAAGAAGAAGCAGGACTCGGACGCCGAGAAGCTGAAGGTGGGCGCGTCGGACGCGGAGGATGACGACGAGTACAACCGGCCCCTGGACCCCAACTCGGACGACGAGAAGATCACGCGGCTGCTCAAGAAGCACAAGCCCTCGAACTTGGCGCTGGTTAGCCCTTGTGGCGCCGGCGCAGGGGACGCCTTGTGAGGCCGCGTGCGGCCGGAGGGCCAGGGTGGGGCGTGGCCGGCGCCCCCAGCCGGAGTTGTACATATATTTTTACAGAGTAAGTTATAAAGCGGCCGGCTCGGGCTCGGCGCAATCACTTTGTATCACCAATAAATTATTTAACACGTCCCGTCGGAGCCGCGGCTTCCGGCTGCACCGCGTGTTTCTTCCTTCCCGTCCCCTCTCCCGGCCGCCAGGGTCCTGCGAGGGTCGTGCGCGGGGGAGCTAGCCCGGTCCCTGCGCCCCAGAGCGGAGGCTGAGGCCGTTCGGGCGGCCGGAGCCGGGGGACACAAGGCCCGACGCTCGGGAGAGCGGCCCCGGCCCCGCGAACCCTCGGCGGAAAGGAGCTTCCGGGCCTGCGCAGGAAGAGCCGCGAGGAGCTGGACGGAGCGGGGCGCGCGGCGCCCGCAGGTGAGGCTCGGGGCTGCGGGCTCGCGAGGCGCCGGCGCAGACGGGTGAGGCCTGGGGCGGACTGAAACAGGTTTGGGGGCCCGGCCCCGCTCCCTCCAGGCCCCGGCTCCCGCGGGCGCGGTCAGCTCGATTGTCTGGTGTATGAAGTGCCTTCGCCCGCTTGCTGGGTATTTACAAGTGTTTGCCAGCGCACAGCGGGTGGAGTAAGTGGGGTTTCAAATTCCTCCGCGTCACGGCTCTTCAGCTCGCGCTGGAGAAAGCGCCCTTCAACCCAAACTGGGGCCGGGAAGAGAAACCCAAGAGACTGCCCGCGGGGGCGGCGCAGCCCCATCAGCGGCCCGCGCACCCTGCGCCGGAGCCCTGGGAGCTCTGCCCGGCCGGCGCCGCCCGCTCGGTGCATCAGCGGGACGGGCCGCCCGCCCGCGCGCGGAGGCGTCCTCCCTTCGGCCGGCTGCCCCGCGTCCGAAGGCGGGTCCCAGTACCGCCGCCCCGATTCTGTCCCGCTCACAACAGACTGGCGTCCGCTGGGCTCTTTATGTTGTGTCCTAGTGGGCACAAGTATTGGGTGTTAATTCCAAAAACTACGTGTGCACGGTTGTAGCACTCCACGGCCTCCTTCGGAGGACAGAGAGAAACCGCAACGGCTGGGGTTTCTGCAGCACCGCCGTCTGTAAGGACCCACGGGCGGGCTTTGTTTTTCTCCAAGGGAGCAACACGGAATTTTGTTTTATTTCTGCAAGTGGAGTGTCCTCCCCGCTCTCCGCTCCCCGCTCCAGTGAAGAGTGGGGGGGTTTCCAGTCTTGGGCTGGAGGACGGCCCTGCATTTACATAATCTCATTAAAATGCGCGGGGCGGGGGTGGGGGCTGCGTCCCTCACGGCTGCTGTGAGGAGGCCCCAGGCCCGCGTCTCCGCTCTCGGCTCCCAGCGTCTCTCCTCCGGCGGGACCGAGTCTGGTGGGGACTCGGGCGGCAGGGGAGGGCACGGCCCTGCCGCACGGCACTTCCGAGGGGGGCGCGCAGAAGGGAGAGAGACAAAGCCAGGCAGAGCTGTGTTCACCATGATCAATTTTATTGCTTAGGAACCGGAGCGGTCATTTCTGAAGGCCTCCACAGTGACCAGCAGCTGAAACCCTGCTGGACAGAACTGCCGCGCGGCCGAGGACAGCAAGGGACGGACGGCCGCCCGCCCCCGTCCCGCCGGCCGGAGCAGCCTGGGCAGGCCCGTGCCGCTCGCACTGGTAGTGACTGACCTACAGGCAGGCGCCCACCCGCCCGCCGCCGCCGCCCCGGGGCCTCTTAGTGTTCTGCAGCGGAGGAGCGGACACGCTGCTCCCCCGGGGGCCCCGTGAGGCGCCCGGGGCTGGGGGAGGGCGGGCAGCCCGGTCCCACACGGGGCGTTTGCGGCCGAGCCCGGGACAGCTGTTCTCTTCACGGTTTTGGATGCAGTTCACGTTACAAGCGGTTTCTACTGGAAGCGGACTAGGCTACTCTCATTCCCCATGATATTATTGTTTCATGTGTAATACTTGGCACCATAGAACAGTAACAAAAGACAGACAAAACAGTTTACAAAATTCTTAAAAGGTGTACACCCGAGCCGGCTGCAGACTTCACATCCGGGTCTCCCTGTCCCAGGAGAAGGCCGAGGAGCAGCGGCCGTGGGTGCGGCCGGGCGAGCGTGCCCGCCACCCGCAGCGCACCGCCAGGCCCCTGCCCGCTCCGCTCCCAGAGCCGACGCCCAGCTCCGATCCTCCTCGCTGACGGGCGCTCCTGAGCACTCACACTGGAGAGTATATTCAGCATCAGTCTGGTAAGGTTTATAAATTACTTTAGAAAGTGTGTATTTATATGTACTCATATATAAAACGGGGAAGCAGCTGCAGCGTGGTTCGGAACCGTGGACGCGGCAGCGGGGGAACGCAGGGAGCCTGGCCACCCGCGTCCCGCAGAGCGCGCCTGCCCGGGCTCCCTCCGGCTGGCAGCGGGCGCCGACGCCCGTGGGTCCCCACGCTGACAACTATGACAAACCGAAAACCGTGAAGTCTAAAATACAGAATCTCTGCTGTCTATTAGAGTTTTGGCAACAGGACTGTGGCTTATTAAAAAACCCAATGTTTCTACTTAATGTCACACGAACAGACGAGACGGTGAGGTATGTGGGCCCCGGGACGGCCGGAGGCTGAAGCAAAGTGCGGGCCGCCGGCGGGCGGGCGGCGCTCGGCGAGTTACTCGATGCAGCTGCTGAGCGTGGACTTCCGTGGACGCGGCCTCCGGCTGCTCCTCGCGCTACGGGCAGGGCTCGCGGAGGCTCCGCTCCTGGGGCTGGCATCGCCTCCCTGCCGCGGAACCAGCGGTTGGTTACAGGCACAGACACACCGGGAAAAGCTCAGAAAAGGTGAACTCAAGGGAAGGAGCCATATTTACCACACGTCACTGCACGACACAACACTTGTGCACGTGTGCGTGAGCTTTACCTGCCCCGGGCGCCACGCGGAAGGCCAGGAACACGGGCTGCGGTGGGACAAGAGCAGGCGTCAGCACCCTGGTGGCCACCGGCCGCCCCCTCACCCTCCAACCCCCCCTCGTCACCCCAGAGCCCCGATGACCGGACCGGAGCCGAGCGGGGCCCCAGGGGCTCCCGGCAGGCGCCTTCCAGCTCCGTGAAGGGGTGTTCTTTCCAGATGACGGCCGATGCTCGGACAGGCTAAAGCCGCTGACCGTGCCGCGGATAACGGGGGTGGGGCGGAGCTCCCGCCTGGCGCCCCTGTGGGGGCTGCGCTCGGGGCGACACCACCTGTCGCCAGCACGCCCCTCAGCGAGGACGCCCGGGCTCCAGTGCAGGGACAGCCCCCTGTGCAAACGAGTCCCTGAGGCACTGACCTGTGACCCTCACTCTGCACCCGCCCCTGAGACCGGCCAGGCATAAGGACAATAAAACACCTCAAGTGCACCCTTGGGAAACGGCCTCAGAAATAATCTGTGGGGACGTGGTATTTTTATTACAAATAGTAAAACTGTATTTTATTCTACTGTGGCTAGTCACTGCTGCCTCTTGTCTACCTGCCTACCTACCTGTCTGCCCGCCTACCTACCTACCTACCTGCCTTCCGGTGTTTTATTACAATCAAGTGGAAGCAGACAGCTCAGCCTATGCTGAGCCGCCAGCGTGCGGGCAGACAGGGAGAGGAGGCAGAGAGGCGGGCACCCACCCCCCGGGCCGGCTCTGGCCTGTCACCTTGTGGTCTCCCATGCAGACGTTGGGCCCGATGTGGTCGTAGGCGACAGCCTTCTCCTCGCTCTCCGACTGGGAAAAGCAAACAGAGGGACCGGTGTGGGAGGAGGGATGGTGGTGGTGCCTGCGAGCACGCACCTCCCCCCACCCCTGTGCCACTGGGCCCACCAGGGAGTCGCCGGGCAGGAGGGTGGGAGCTTCTGGCAGGTGTGGCAGCACCTGGGCCCTTGGGCCGGGACGGCGAGGAGGCTCGGAGCCCCAAGCCTACTGCTGTCGACACGACCCCCACAGTCAAACAGTGGTGCCCACTGCGTCTGCTGCCCGCCAGGCCTGGCAGACTCCTCATTGTGGGGGAGGCTGAGGGCTTGGTCCCGGCCATCCTCCGACTGGCCGGACTGCCCGTCCGCAGCGGAAGCACCCGAGACTACGGTGTTGGGGCTGAATTACCTTTAATGCAGCAGGAAGCTGCCGGTCTCACCACGTGGAGCGCTCACCGCCGCAGGAGGTGCGGGCGAGCTCAGCCTCCGAGGCGGCTGCGTGAGCACCCCACACGGCCGCGCCGCCGCCCACCCAAGGGGCCACGCATCACGGGCGGCGCGGCGGTTCACAGAGGCAGCACAGAACCGTGCGTTTCCGACTGCGTAACCCCGAGACCCAGAAACGAACGACCGCGGGCGCGGCACACCTCGCCGAGCATCCATCACCGGCCCCCCCGCCGGCGGCCGTGCCACCGCCTCCGCCTCCGCCTCCGCCTCCGCGTTCTCAGGCCGGAAGCAGACGGAACACAGCGAGGAGGAAGCCGAGCATGGCGTGATGGATGAGCCCGAGGCGGCGGCCTGGCGCGTCCGTGGCCCGTAGCGCCCGCCTCCCGCGTCCCCGGGGGGCGGGGGGCCCGCTGGGACCTCCGCCCGGGGAGGGATGCCCAAGCTGGCTGGGCCCCCACCGTGCCTGCAGCATCAAACCTCACCCCCAAACGGGAGAAGGTGGGAGCAAGTGGGGGACGGGCTGAAACACTGCCGTCCGCGTGCAGCCTCGGGCCCTGGCCGGGGCTGTCTCAGTGCAGGGTGCACCTCTCTTGGTGTTTCATGGTTTTCCCAGCAGGTGACACCTGTGCTCAGCGCTGGCAGGGTGGGGCTGAGGCAGGCCCTGGGTGCGGGCTGCGGAGGGCTGCCGGCTCCACCCCCACCCCCGCCCCCAGCAGAGCAAGCCAGCAGACCCCAAGAGCCCCAGCCTCCAGCCCAGTTTCTGTGAGGCCCGCTGAGCGGGGCCATGGGACGTGTGGGTGGCAGGTGGGTGATGGGGGGCAGGGCGTGGGTGGGCCATGTGCTCAGGACAGCATGTGGGGGCTGCCCTCCTGTAGCCCCTCTTGCCCAGGGGCTGAGGCCCGGGGTCTGACCCCAGAGCACAGGCAGAGTCTGTTGGTGCAGCCCTGGGGAGGGACTGGAACCTGAGGCAGACGCAGCTGAGGTCTGGGGGTGGCCTGGGGCGGTGGGGCTGCTGTGCCCCTGCCCCTCCCGGCCCCTGCCCAGGGCACGCTGAGTGTCAGGCTGCTGCCCTGGGTGAATCGATGATGCTGCTCATTCTTAGGTTTTTTCATTACCATATTAATGGGGTTGACAAAACCAATTCGGAAATTGATTCTTTTGAAAACATTCTTTTTGTTTTAAAATGTGGGGATTGAAAAATGCTGGCAAATCAAGAGGCTCCAGGTAATCTGAACACTTCCCAGACCCCGGCCTCGCAGGGCCCAGACGCCTGGCTCGGCCCACAGGCCCTGCGGGCTGGGCACCGGCTCCCTGTGGCTGAGGGCCCGTCGGAGGCCGGGCCGGGCCGGCCCACCACTCACCCGCAGAATCAGCTCCTTGGCGGACGGGGACATGAGCACGCGGTCGCACCAGGCGGGGCACCGGGTGTTCATGTACTGCTTGCCTTGGCTGGAGTCCTCGCTGTACGGGTAGCTGGGGAGACAGGACACGGGCAGGTCAGCACACGGCTCCGGCCCCTCCTCCGAGTCCCGCCGACGGCTGTGGGGACTCTCTGAAGCCTCTTGGGACTGCTGGCACTCTCAGAAAGAATACCTGTATAGAAGTTTCTAGAACATAAAGTCAAACTTTACAGTTCCTTTAAAGAAATGAGATTCTCTATTAAACTTTATTTTTTTAACTTAAAAGAAAAGATTTTATTTATTTTTAGACAGGGGAGGGGAAGAAGAAAAGGGGGGAGAGAAACATCAGTGTGTGGTTGCCTCTCACGCGCCCCCTACTGGGGAACCTGGCCTGCAACCCAGGCATGTGCCCTGACTGGGAATCGAACCGGCGACCCTTTGGTTTGCAGGCCCGAGTTCCATCCACTGAGTCACACCAGCCAGGGCCCTTGGCTTTGTTTTTGGACCTGGCCTAAAGCACAGCAAAAGCTGCGCAGGAAAACATCGCGTCAGGGCTCACACGCCCGGTCACACAGACGTGCCCAGCAGGAGCCTGGGGGACGCTGGGGCCCAGCTCAGCCACGTACCGGGGTCCTCGCAGCCTGCTCCCACCCCGGTCCTCCTCTCCGGCAGCGTCCAGGCACCCAGGCCGTGGGGTCACCACTGCAGTGGCCACTGCCCCGGCCCTGGCCACACAGGCCCCACTCCACTGACCCACTCAGCCCCCAGCAGAGGCCTGGTGGCCCCCCAGGAATGGAGGCCCTGCAGCCGCCCGGGAGCGACGCACACAGGGGCGAGGCACGGGGCGGGGGGCACCCACCGCCCGGTCGGGCCTGAGGCCGCCAGCTGAGCAGGGTCCCGTCGTCCTCAGATACCGGCTGCCTGTCCGCAGTGTCCTGCAGCTGCCTGTCCGAGGCCCCTCCCTTTCCTCCCGAGGGCGGCTTCCTCCTGCTCCCGAGCTCACGGGACAGCCCCACCCCAGGGCTCTGCTCTGCCCTGCCCAGGGGGCTGGCCCGGGCCCCCGTGAAACTGCTTGCGCCACCCACTCGGGCACCCACTTGGGCGTCCGGACGGGCTGCAGCGAAGGGGCGCAGGTGCGCTCGGCACGACTCGGCTCTGCTGCGCGCGGTGCGCCCCCCAGGGCCACGCGCCCCTACTCGAGGCGCGGCTTGTGTGGCCTTTGCAAAGACGGCAGCTTTTTCTTCTGAGAGTCCAAAGGGTTTTTGTAGGTTGATTCTAAAATATCACATGGTATTTGCTGTAAAAGGCACCTTATTCTGTTAATTTTCCTGTTTCGGGAAAAGGCTACCTCTGGTCTCTGGGCTGCTCCTGCAACGGGCGCCGGGGCCCCTGCCTGCCCCGCGCTGGGGCCTCGAGCTGCCGGTCGCGGCTGTGGGCCCCCAGCAGAGCCCGACGGTGGGCCCGGCCTGGGCAGGGGCCCCGCATCCCGTGGTCGGGGACCCGAAGCAGCAAGTGCGCTGACTGTGCACGCAGGACTGCGCACGCAGTCCCCTCTGCCGGCACCGCTGGATCTGAGGGCGGACAGAGCGCCCGCTGTCCCCACAAGCGTCTTCTCGGGACAAATGGCAGCAAGCACCTGGCCCCAGCTTCCTCAGTTTAACCCGAGGGGGCCCCGCCCTGCCCAGGACACGCTACCCAACCCAGGCACCTGCAGGGGAGCCCACCCAGGCCTTCCCCTCTCCAAAGGACAAGGTGCGGAGTCACGAAGCAACCCCCACGGCTGGGGCAAGGGTCAGGGGTGTGGGTCAGGAGGTCCTGCAGGCTGTGGGGGGGCAGAGGGGCCTCTGCCGCCAAGTGGCTGCACGGCGCGTTTACCCAGAGGGTGTCTGTGGCACCTGGCCGCCTCGACAACGACCCACTGCCCCCTCCCCCAGGGGCCCAGCGCCGTCTGGCGGCCTCTGCACCGGACACGGGGGCCCTGGCCTCCTCTGGAGCGCCGCACTGCCCCGGCTGGTGCTGTGAGGGGCGCCGAGCCACGTGGCTCCCTGGCCCGGCGTGCCCCGAGGGCCCGTGCAGAGGGAGCAGGCTGCACAGCACCACTGGGGGATGCGCCAGGACGGAGGGAGAGTGATGTCCAGCTGCTCTGGAAGCTGCCGTCTCCGCGCAGCGGTCTGGTGGCGCCGTCTTGATGACAGGACCCCCCCCCCCCGCCCCCAACAAAACTCCTGCGGTCGGGCCCCGTCCGCAGCCGCACCACGATGCCCGCCCTGGGGGGGATGCACCCCAGCGCAGGGTGACCCTGGGGGCAGCTGGTCTGCACTGCACACCAAAGGCCGTTCGGCAGCTCTGCGAGCGGTGGCCCCGGGAGCACCGCGGGGCCTCCAGACAAGGCGCGGGGCCCGCTGCCTTCCTGTCTGCGGGCAGGGCCTTGCCCCCCAGCCTGCCCCCCGCCGCCCCGGACGGCCCAGCAGCGGGTCAGGAGCTGACATTGATTAACACGGTGCTGGCTGTGCTTGCAGGCTTATCTGAAAGCAAACCCCACGCAGGGTGGGGACGCGGGGCAGCGAGGGGGAGTCGCCGTGATGAATGGCCGGGCGATAAAGCTAACAATCGCCCACCTGTCCTCAAGGTCCCGCCACCCCCACCTCCCCGCACCTCAGGATGTGGGCAGTGGCCCCTCTGCTGGGGGACCAGCCCTGCCAGCAAGGCCCAGGTCCCCATGTGAGCAGGCTGGGCCAGCCAGGCGGGGGTGGGGGGTTCTTCCGGAACTGCCCCCCAGGAGCAGACGGGGGGGCGGGGGGGGAGCACAGGGCCCTCCGATCGATCTCTCTGGGCGCGGTGGCAGCCGCGCCAGCCCGGAGGCCGACGCAGCCGTGGAGGAAACGGTGAGACGCGTGTCACAGAGACCCTTACGCCGCTGGGGGGCCCCTGGACCTGGTGCGTTTGGGACTCCGGAGGAGCGGCATAACTGGGGTCAAAGAGAAAGGCCGATGCAGTGCTGCGGCCACATGGAAACCGCCAGGTGCGAGGCCGCCGCGTCCCCGCGGGAGAGTCGGGTCAGGGAGCCTGGCACTCAGGCCGCACCTGGGCGGGGCGCTCCTGCACGTGGGGACACGGGGCTCTGGGGCCGCCCGCTCTCCCCGAAACTGGGTCTCCGGCCCCGCACTCCTTGGCGCTTGGTCCCGAGCGTCTGTGTGGGCCGTGTCCCGCCAGGGCTGGGGGCCAGCCGGACAGATGGACAGACGGACAGACGGGCATCCCAGCCCCACCCTGAGCACCGGGCCGGACAAGCAGCAGGGCTGCTCCTCCTGCAGGGAGCTCACGCTTCGCGTCCCGGCCCATGGAGAGTGCGGGCAGGGCCCCTGGTCCTCGAGCTGCAGGCGGCCGTGTCCACGGAGACAGAGGGCCCCGCCCGGCCAGGCGCCTGTCCCTGTGGGCAGGGCGAGGGGAGGGGCGCCGTGGGGAGAAAGGCCTCAGGACCTGCGGTGCCTCTGCGCCTCAGTGCAAGCGCCGACGGGGCTGAGAGGTCGACTGTGGTCCTTCCTGGGAACAGGGCCCCAGATTCCAGAGCCGCCGGCGGAGAGCACAAGCCAGGAATGCCTCTTCCTTCCTTCTCCCCACACGTCCATCTCTGCACCCTTTACCTGGGGCTTCCAAACCCCAGGGCGTCTACCTGAAAACTAAACCAGCTGGCCACGCAGAGCCTGCAGGGCGCCCCGGCCCCGAAACTCTCCCCCGAGGGCCGGGTGCTCCCTGCTTTAGGGCACTCATGCACAGCCAAGTCCCTTTTGTCGCAAGTGGGGGACATTCCCAGGTCCTGGGGAGAGAGTGGAGACATTTCTGGGGGCTGTTCTTCTGCCCAGGAACCAGTAAGACCCCGTGGAGATTCCGTTCAGCAGGGCTGTCCTGGGGCCTTGCTGAGGGCAGGGGGTCATGCACAAAGCCGCTCAGGCCTCTTGTCCTGAGGACTGGGCAGGGACACCCAAAGGTCAACACCCAGGAAACACGGAAGAGCCTTCCAACTGCCACCAAACCAACCCCTCCCGTGTTCCAGGGACAAAAAAGACCCCAGATGAACAGGGGGATCTTAGGGGCCACCAGGTCAGAGCCGCCTGCCCAGGGAAGCCCGGGACCCAGCAGCCCTGCACCCTACTCAGGACCTCCTGTCCTTCTGTCCCTGTGTGGGGGACTTTCAAGGCTGCGGGATTTGGGAGAAACTCGAGGGGCAGAGGCCAGCACGGGCACGGGTGTCCACAGGACCTCCTAGGCCTCCTCCATCCTCCGCCGGCTCCGCAAGGCCCTGGAGAAGGGGCCCATGGGTCTGTTCAAAGAGGGAGAGACAGTCAGGGTATCTGGAAGGGGGCACCTGGACAAACCCCCGAGAACGCCGTCAGCAGGTCCCAAACACACCTGCAGTGTTCGGCGCACACCGGTGCGCCCTGAAAGCAGCCCCTGAGCTGGGTCAGGGCCTGGCTCACACACGGGCACACCAGCCTGCCGGCCCGAGGGCAGAGTGGAGCCCACTGCCCCTGCTTCCCTGGCTCCCCGACACCCACACTGTCGGTCTGGGTGCTGGCCCTGTCAGCTGGAGCCTGCACCCGGTCAGAGGGGCACTGGCCAAGGCCTGGTGGCTTCCTGTCTGTCATTGCTCTCGGTTGCGTCCAGGCCCTGGGAGGCCCTGGGTGTGCGGCCAGTCAGAGGAAACGGACGGGAGGCTGACGCTGTAGACGCCTGGATTCTAAAAGCGTCGGCGGGAAACACGGCAGAGGCTAGCGAGCATGCCCGAGCCCACGTACACCCAGCTGAGGAAGACCCGCGGCACCAGCCGCCTCTGCTGGCTCCAGGACACACGACCAGCAGGCCACGTTTTGCATGGGGGACGACATCTTTCATAAAGGAAGCATCCCTCATTGCTCTCAGCCGGTTGCTTCTTTGGGCCCCAGGAAGGGCTACAGGCTGGTATGCACAGGTGCACCGGCCGCCCCGAGAGGAGGGTGGTTACCTGTTCGCCCAGGAGGCAGGGCCCCTTACCTGGGAGGGAACGAGATGTCCAGTTCATACAGTCTGTCCTTGAAGACAGACAGCTCTTTGTCAAATTCTAGGAGCTGGGGAGAGAAACAAGAAAATCAAGTCACTGGTGTGTCTGTCTGGGAGCACTGTGCGGTCCCGGGGGCATGGCGGTCAGAACAGTGGGGGCCTGCAACTTTCAGGACCACATCCTGCAGTTGGGTGGTGGGCCGCTCCCCTTGAGACCCGCCCAGTAGTGTCCCGAGGGCCCTGGGGGGTGGGGGCACCCCACAGCCCCTGCTGATGAGGCCATACTCAGGCTCCAGCGCAGCTGCTGCTGGCGCTGGGACCCACATGCCCGTGCCTGAGCAGCCACCTCCCTGTGCGGAAGCCATGCAGTGCAGGAGGCAGGGCCGGCGCTGTCCCAAGGAGGGGACACCACTCCCGCTGTGCTCAAACTAAGTCAGAGGTGAGCAGTGTCCACCTCACAGGGGACCTGGCAAAAAGGCCCGAAGTCTGCACACCCCACAGGGCACAATGCGCCCGGGGGGGAAGGGGCGCCACGCGGCCTCTGGCCACACTGGGCGGCGACGAGCCGGCAGCACACGCGCCCTCGGGATGCGTTCATTAATCAAGCCCCCTGGCAGCTGGGTGGGCGCGGCCTCGCACGGGGGCTCCCCTCGAAGCTGCCTCATCCATCACCCCCGAAGCGTGCCAGCGCAGCGCCGTGTGCACGGCAGTCGCCCGTGTGCTGCGTGCTACCTGGGGTGGCGGGCAGCCCTGCCCGCCTGCTGGTCCCCGGGGCTGGGAAGGAGGGAGCGGAGCAGGAATGCATGGGAAGGCGCTGCTGGAGTGCTCAGGCTGGGGCGGGGGCTCCTCGTGCACAGAGAGGGCGTTTCTGACACAGCTGTCCAACTCGGTGTCGAGCCCCTCCCTGCAGAGAGCCCCCTGCACTCCCTGGCGAGGCTCAGAGCGCAGGGGTGGGGCCTGGACCCCATGGGGGCATGGGAGCCCACACCTGCTGGCCTGGCACGCTGGCAGAACCCTCACCGGCTCAGTGTCACCAAGTCCAGCGGCCAGGAGACTGAGGCCCCCGGGGAAGGGTGCAGGGCTAGAACGGGGCCTTGGGGCAAAGGTGGGCCCAGGAGAGGGGAGGGTGGGGTGCAGGCTGGCTCCCTGAAACACCCGCTCCCCCTCTGGGGAGGACTCTGGGGAATTCCTGAGTCAGCGCCTCAGCTGGGGTCGGGGTGAGGGGATATCCTGGGGACCGAAATGCACCTTCAAGGGGGGGGTGAGGAGCAGTCCAGAATGTGTGTGTGTCTGTGTTTATAAACATGTGTTTTCATGCACGTGGGTGCCCGAGAGCCAGCTCATGCGAGCGTGTACATGCTTCAGAAGGCACATCCCTGCCCGGCAGCTTGTCCGGGAAGCTGGGGAGCCCCGGGAGAGGTTGCTGGCGAGGCCCTGAGTGCGAGGCGGTTTCCCGTTCCCAGCTCTGCTGGACACGGCCCGCAGCCCGCCAGCCCCGCTGTCCGGTCTGGGTGGCAGCACTGAACGATGGGGCTGCTTGAGTCTCACCACCCTTCCACTTGCTGCGGGTGTTAAGTAAAAACACAGCAGATGCACACCTGGTTGGGAGCGAGCTGGGCTCTTCCAGCTGCTCCGATAGGACCAGAGCCTGCGGCTCCGTCCCCATGGGTCCCTGCCTGTCCTGCTCCACAGCAGGGCCACCCCCACCCACCTGAGCCACACGACACGGAGCTGCTCTGAAACGCTCGCCCTTCCGATCCCACGTGGGCCTGTCAGCCTCCCCCGTGTCGGGGCTGTGTTGGGGCTGTGCCAGACACATTGCCCAAGGACCTGGGAAGCACCAGACAGCTCTTTGCCCTCCGGGACTTCCCGGGGGAGGCGGCAAGAGCACTGTGGTGTTTATAACCCCACGTCAGACCCCAGTCTGGGCCGCTAGACCCCAAGGCTGGATGCCTTGGCAGGTGGGCGCGGGCAGGCATGGCCTGCTGTCCTGCTCTGACAGGCTGGCGGGAACCTTGGCTAGGGGACCGGCAAGGAGACGGTGCTCAAGTGCCAGGGCCTGGGGCCTGCTTGCACCCCAGGTCCACCCAACGCGAGGGTCGGGGGCCCTGCTGCCGGCACCAGACACTGACACGGGGCGTTTCTGGTCGGAAGTCATGCTGCACGTCTGCGGAAACGATCATCTGTATCTCTGAGACTTTTCACAAACACGATCGCCAATTCCGCTGGTACCTTAAACATTCTTCTTGATTACCAAGTGAGAAACAGCGCAGGGCGTGTGTGGACAATGATAAAGCAGCTGGCGGTCATACGTATCTGTCAGGAGCCCTCCCCGCCGCGCAGATCCCACTGTTGCTGCACAGACGCCGCGCTGATAAAGGAAAGGGCCGGAAAATCAATGCGCCCGGAGCCGCAGCAGCTGCTGAACACGCAGCAGACACCGGCGTCCAGCAGGCCCGGCCCCGAGGAAGCCCCGGCCGGCCGGGACGGCCCAGCGAAATTTAATCTCTCCAAATCCTCGCCAGGGCGCTCCATCCTGCAGCCTGACAGCCCACGTGTAATTAATTATACAACTTCGACGGGAGTATCGACTGCACGGAGCCATAAATCATAGAGAAAGTCAATGGGCATGGACACATTCAATCATGTCCCGGCCGATGATCACTGCTCTTAAAACACAATGATTATTTTCAGGAGCCAGCTCGAATTAAATTCCTGTCAGGCGGGAACAAGACCGGCGGTTGATGAAGGATGCGATGGGTTTTGGGGCTGCGTCCGGCGGGGGCACATCCATCCGGCAGACGGTAGCTTGTCCCCGTGGCCATGCTGCCGCGTGTCTCACCGCGGAGGGGACGGGCTCTCTGACGGCTCGTCACGCCATCTATCTCACCCCTTGGGGGGACGGAGTGACCCCGTTTCCTGTGTGTGGCTGACGTGAGGCTGACCCCCGCACGTGCCGATGGCTGGGCAGGACACGCGCACACCCCTGGGAGCCCCGAGGTCCCGTAGCTGCGGCTCCTGCCGCTGCGGCCGCGGGGTCTGCTGCTGAAGCCCCAGCTCCCCACCCGCGAGGGCCGGGCCCCGCTGAGCGCCCCTGCCGCGTGAGGCCCTCGCTGTGGCACCAGGGGCCGCCCGGGAACCTGCCCCAACCCCACCGCTCGTCTGCATCTAGAATCAGATCCAGAAGCTCTCCTGAACACTCTGACTAACTTTCCTCCACGGGGGAAAACAGTTTCTCGCGACTTACGACAGCAGCGTTGGTTACCTCCACTGGCCGCTGCAGCGTCTCTGTCTGAACGTGGAGAGGAAACCCGTGACTCGGCCCCACACGTGCCCTCACTCCCGTTTCTAGAGCGGGACCTCGTCTCCTGGCCACTGCACCATTCGGCTGCAGGCCCGGCTTCTCCCTTGGCTGACGGAGCCTCCTCTCACCCATCTCCTTGTTCCTTCCAGAACATTCTGGCCCCTCAGCTGCCCCAGTGCTACCCCCCGGGTTCACTGTTCTCCTAGGGAACCTTGCTCTCTTCCCCCCATGGTGGTCTCAGGACTCCTGGTTCTGAGGGCCCATCTCTGGGCTGGGGCCTGCAAGCCTGCCCCATCTGGCCTTCTCCAGTTCAGACGGCCACCAGCTGCCCAGGGATGGGGTGGCTCTGTGAGTCTCTGGCCCCTCCCCTCCCCACAGCACACCTGACCACGTCCTGTCCCCACCCTGCTCCTCGAGCTCTCACCGCTGCCAAGTGCCCCAGGCCCTGCCGAGGTCCCTGGGACAGCGCCGGGTAGAGCGTGGCTGAGCTGAGAGTGTCTGTGTGCTGAGTGCGGGCCCCTCGCCAGGGCCCGAGGCTCCTTGAAGAGGTGAGAGACACACTGGCCAGCACTGAGGCGCGGAAGGGCGGTGCTGAGGCCTGCGGGGGGCATGAGGGTTCCAGGCTGCACCCTCGACAAGGCCCTGGCCAGGCACCAGGCTGGGGGACCGAGGGGCTGGGACAGACTCAGAAGCTGCCTGGCCTGAGAGGCGAGGGAGCTGCTTGACACTGCTGTGACCTCCAGGAGGGGACCCAGGGATCGGGGGAGGGCACCCGTGGGCTGAGGCAGCGCCAGGGCTTCTGAAGGAGGAACACGGGCCTTGCAGAGTTTGCTGGGAGGTCCAAGAGGCACTTCCACCCAGCGCGTGGAGGTGCCGGCCCTTCTCCGACCACCCGTCACGCGCAGCCCTGCAGGAGCCTCCTGTACCCCAGGGAGGCCGCGGCTGAGCGCAGAGCCCCAAGGGCCCAGCTCGGCCTAGAGTGCGAGCGCACAAGGGGCCTGAGGTGGACAGGAGACAGAGAGACGGGGCATTGTCCAGAGCTGGGAACCCGAGACCCAGGGGCGAGGGGGCACCCAGAGCACAGAGCTGAGCGGGAAGGGGGGCCAGGGGTGGGTCCATGAGGGGCACGGTCCCGGTGGGGTGCTGTCCAAGGCACGGCCTGGTATCTAAGCACCTCCCCGAGCTGTGAGGCAAAGGTGCCCTCGCAAGGGCTGCCGACGGTCTTGGTGGCACAGGGAGGGCTGCAGCGGTGGGGGACAGGGGGCCAAGAGTGGGGGGCGGCGGCACACCCCGAGGAGGGGGGGAAGTGCAGATGGGGCGAGGCAGGCGGCTTCAGAGGGAAACGCCAGCATGGCTGGAAGGGCCCGGCAGTCCTGGGGCCGCTGGGACGGGGACGCACACACAGGGTGCCGCCCCGCCCCCGGGCAGCTCCCGCACAGCCGGGCCCCCGCAGCACTGATGCCCCGTGGTGGCTGGCCCGGACTAGCCTGAAAGGCCCGAGTGCGCCTTCTCAGGAATCTGGGGGCTGGCGGCTCATCAGCTCAGGAGCAGCCCCAGCGAGGCCACTCCGCCAGGGAGACGTGCGCGGGCCACGCGTCCCCCGCACTCCGGCAGCATCACCCCCGGGAGCGTCACCCCCGGCAGCGCGGCTGCGGGGGGCCGTTGCACGTGCGGTGGAAATGCAGCCCAGCCCTCAGGCAGAAAACCCGGGGTGCGAGTCGGCACACAGGACCACGGCCACGGGCAGGTTCTCCCGTGGGGAATCAGGCCTGCGTTGTGCCCAGACTGCCACGAGACTTGGTTTTGCTAGAACTCCCTCACCCTGAATGAGGCAGCAAGGGCTTACTGCAACTCCCTGAAATCTGGGCTAAACCTCCCAAGAATGGAGTGTGACCCGTTCAACCACTTTCCCCTGGGTCTGCCACACCCTCTCTTTGAAGTTGTTAGCAGCATTCTTTCCTTTGTCACGTGTCAAAGGCAGCCCCCTGCAGTGAACCTGTGCACAGAAAATGAGGACCGCCCTCCACGTAATGCACCCAGAGAAGCCACAAAAGCCTGTCCAGGCGGGGACTGGCTCACTGGTCCCGGGCGCCCCCCCCCCCCCCCCGAGAGTGGCCATGGCGTCCCTTTTCCTCCACAGGACTTCCGCTGTCCGTGTGTATTTGTTCACGAACAGCCACAACACACACGGATCCTGTGGCCAGGACCCGCACACGCGGCGACTGCACGGAAGAGGCAGACGCCTGCCGAGGGCCAGGCCCCGCCTCAGCACAGGCGGACCGCACGGCAGCGCTGTGGGGACCGGTTCCTCCCGGAGGGGCCTGAGCCACTCCCAGGCGCGTGCACGCACACACACGCAAGCAGGGTGACGGGCTGCCTTGCCCACGCGCACGTGTGGTTCCTCCCTGCCCTGAACGCAGCTCAGGCCTGTGGGCCCCGAGCCCGGAGGTGTGTGCCTGCCTCTCCCGGGTGATGGTCCCAGAGGCCCACAGCTGAGGCTGAGGGGTCCCAGCAGAACTGGCCCAGCAGAGAAGCGACAGGAGGCTGAGGGTTCAGGAGCCGCCCCGGGCTGTGACAGCACCAGGAAGCGTGGTCCCGGTGACCCCAAGGGCACGGGAGGCGCAAGGCCGGGGAAGAGGTCGGGCATCCAGCTGAGGAACTCACCGCGGTGCCGTTGTCCTCACGGAAAACCTCCTGGTTGAAGTAGTCGAACAGCTTCTTCTCCAGCTGCAGCATCACCTGCCGAGGACGGGCCATGAGCCCGGTGGGGGCAGAGCCCGCACGGCTCAGGCAGTCCCCCCGCTTCCCCAGCTCGGGGCGGCTGCCGTGTGTCACCCCCACCCCGCCCAACAGCAGGCTCTTACCTTCCGGTCGTTGTCCGACTCACGGAATATCAGCTTCACGACTTCGTTGGTGTCAGCGGCGCGGACCGTCTGCATCGTGGCCTTCGTGCAGAGAGTCTGGGGGGACACGGGTGCGGGGAGACTCAGTCCCAAGAGAAGGCCCTTCCGCCCACCTGGCGGCTGTCACTGCAGAGGCGGCAGCTCTTACGGCCTCTGTGCCGCCTTCACCCGTTCCACGCCTCCACGCCAAGGGCCCCCAGGACACTGTGGGGTCATGAACTGACCAGCGGCACCCGAAGGCAGGCCTGGGCTGGCCCACTTCCTGGGCCAGGGCTGCAGGCCGCAGCAGCCGTGTGCTCCTGCCGCCCCCGCCCCCACCCCCCTGGGCTCTGGCCGAGCAGGCTTTCCTGAGCGCGGCCTGAGTGGGGGGACAGAGGGACTGAAGCCACAAGCAGCCACGGCAGCTGGAGGCACACGACCGTGACATCAGCCCCAGAGTCCCGGGCGCTAGACAGGGCCCGGACGGGGACACAGGGGCTGGGGGTGCCCTGAGGAAGGGACAGCAGCTGGGCATCTAGGGGGAGAGGGAAGGGTGGGCACGGTCACCCCCCATGCCACCAGCTGGTTGGCTGAGAATTAAATTAAATCTGGCTGTTCAGAAAATCCTTCTCACCTGTGTGTGCGCACATGGGTGCACAGACCACGGCGCCCCGCCCACGTGTGCCTCTAAGGGGCGTCCACGGTGGGTGGACGGGGAGGGGCCCTCAGGACACACGTAACAGGAGAAGTGACCATGTGCTGTGGACAGAGCAAGGCTCTGAAGGGGCTGACACCCCACGCTCCCGTGTGGACAGGATGGGGAGCGGGTCACACCCAGCACGTCAGAGGCAGCGGGGGGGGGGCGGGGGGGAGCCTGGGGCCGGGCCCAGCCTGAGGTGCAGGCTGCCACTGGGCTGTGGCTGCGTGTGGGCCACACCTCAATGAAGCTGCCTTGGAAAAGGACGAGACGATGCTCGTTGTAAAAAGGCCACTGCCACGAAGCGGCTGATGTTCCCACTGCACCAACACATCCCCTGGAGGGTCCAGGCGAGGCGAGGCTCTGGGCGGGGCAGCCCTCCCCTGGGAGCGCGGAGGCCCGTGGCCCCCAGAGCACTCGGGATGGGCCATTGACATTCCGAGCGCAGCCGGCCGAGCGGGTCAAGCTCCCAGTGTGGCTTTTGGACTCATGTGTCACAAGTCAGTCTGGCGGCCTTCAAATGGCGCGGATTAGAACGAGCCTGGCACAACCCGGAGCAGAGAGGTGCCGCTCCATCCAGATGCTAATGGGCTTAAGTGGCTTAAGCGCCTCCATGAAAGGGGCAGGGCTGGGGCGGCAGACGGCCATTGTGGCCGCTGCAGGCCGACTCCAGGGAGGCAGGGGTCTCCTCCCAAAGGCGTCTGCTGGAAAAGGCGCTGAAAAAGCTGCCTCGTCCGGCCCCCCCCCCCCCGCCCCCCGGGGCAGGCTCCCGGAGGACGCACATCTCATCTCCCACACCCTCCCGGCTCCTTGGTCTCCAGGGCGGAGGCCGATGGGACCGCCGGCCAGCGGCTCCCCGCCTGCCGTTGTCGGCGTGCCCGCTCATGCGGAGACGTGCAGAGGCGGCCTTTCCGGCTCCCCGCCGACGGAAGGGATTTTCCTCTTTTGAAAGCAGAAAAAGTACCCAGAGGCTGTTCTCAAAGGGCCGTCTACGACTTATTTCATTGTTAGCAGCCACACACGGGGTGCAGGCCAGGCCGCCGGCGCCGGCCCCCCGGCTCTCGGAGTGCCGCTTCCTCTGGGCACTGACGGCCCGACGGTCGCCGAGGCTGTCCCCCTGCTGCGGGAATGACAGGGTTCCCGTGCTTCCTCTCGGTCTGGATGGCCAGCGAGGCGTGCCGCGGGGCCCGTGCCACCGCCAGGGCTGCAGCCAGTGCTTTCTGTGGCCATGCCCCTCAGCAGCCCGCCGAGTCCCACATGGCCACAGCGCCAGGGGCGCCGTGTGCGGTGGGCCCCACTCGCCCCAGGAACTCAGCTGGGTTCGTGGCCCCAACTCAGCCATCACACACTACGCTCCAGGATGGGATGGGGACGTGGGCGGATGGAGCTCAGCTTCAGAGCGGCCAGCACCTGGGTGCCTGCGTGACCGGCCCGGGGGACCCAGACTCGGCCTCCCAGGTTGCGCTCTTCCGCACCCACTCCTCCTTCCGGGCCTTCCCACACTGAGCCTGGCCCGGGGGCTGCAGGGGCTGCAGAGCTTCGGACAAGGCGCCTCCTCTACAGAGTCTGTGTGCAGTGCCGTGAGGGCTGCTCTGTGCTTGGAAACACCATCCAGACAGAGCCGTGGACGTAGAACCTTCCACCAGGAGCAGAAGCCAGGTCAGGCAGCTTCAAGCAGGGACGGAAAGGCACAGGGCTTGGCAGGGTTTTCCCATTTTATTTTTTAAAAACATTTTAAAAAGTGTTTATTGATTTCAGAGCGAAGTGGAGAGGGAGCAAGGGGGAGAGAGAAACGTGGGTTGGCTGCCTCCTCTGCGGACTCTGGCTGGGGACCGAGCCCGCAGGCCCCGGCCCTGACCGGGAGTCCAACCAGCGACCTTTCGGTGCACAGGATGGCGCCCAAGCCCCTGAGCCTGGGCAGGGCCAGTGTCCTCATCCAGCCACCGAGCTTCTCAGCGGTGAACAGCCGTGACGATGTGTTCCCCGTGCCCACCTCCAGGGTGGCAGTTCAGCCTGCAGTTCCCAGGAGCCACTGAGCTCTGGGTCCAGTTCTAACTGTGGCTCTGGAGGTCACCCAGCCGACAAGCGGCCTGTGCCAGGGCCGGGAGGGGAACTAGTGAGGAGATGGCAGCTGTGCGTGGACCTGTAGGCGGGGGGCCGGCCCGGGCCACGGCCTGACGGGCGTGAGCTGGGGAGCCCGAGCAGAGCTGGGAGCACCTGGCGTGCACAGGGGGCAGGGCAGCTCCAGGGCCGGCGCAGCTTGTTCCCCTTGGCTCAGGCCCCACCCAGGGGCCCGGGGCTCCTTCCCTCCTCAGGGGAGAAAGAGGACAAGAACGCATTTCTGTTTTACCTCTCTCCTCTGCCCGAGAAAACAGAGCAGGATGCACGTGCTGCAAAAGCGTGTTGTGAATCAAACACCCTGTTTGGCTGAACACGAATGGCTCGCCTTGCCTCTGCCCACAAAGCCCCACACGGACGGGGGACACGCCTCCAGCTTCCTCGACCCCTGGGGTGAGGAAGCTGCGGTCTGGGAGCCTGCACGGGTCTCCGGGCCCCTTGGCCCTGGCACCAGTTCTCGAGGCCACCCCAAGGGCGCGGAGCAGAGACGTCGGGGCCCCGGGGGGCCGAGCCAGGGGCAAGACGGGCCACCAGGCGCCGGAGTGCGCCCACTGTCCCCCGTGCTCTTGGCCAGGCAGGACAGGCCCACCGCTGAGCACTGCTGAGAAGGCAGCCGGGTCGCTGGGTGCTGCAGCCCCCCCGGGAAATGTCAGGCACGGCCTGCCTGGTAAGTGCCCGTTCTGCCAAGTCCCTGGCCACCCCTGATGGCGAACGAGCTCACCCCAGGGCCGCCCCAGAGCCACAGGTGCCGGGACACTCAGCGGACAGGCCACGCGTCCTGCCTCTGGAAGCACCCTGAGGAGGGAGCATGCGAGGGGACGCCAGGCCCTGGCACAGCATGACGAGCGGGCAGAGCCACCGCCTGAGATCGGAAGGTCCTGGAAGGCGCTGTTCTTGCCAGGGCCCAGAGCCCACTGGGGGCGGTGGGGACCCCACAGCCCATCAGTGTGGGCTCCCACCGTCAGCCCGGGGCCACCGGCACGCCTGCGCCGAGTCCGCAACTGGGGGCAGGAGTCCCAGACACGCGGCTTGGACCCCGGGGACCCCATGCGTGGCCCGGCCTGGTCTGGACCGGCATGGTCGGGGGTGCTGAGCCGGGCCGCCGTCACTGTCCTGGCCACAAAAAGGGGGGTGAGATTTAATCCTGACGTTGGTTGGCGGCGGGGACGAGTCAGGCCAGGTGTCGGCAGGCGGTTCAGGCACTGCGAGTGTCCCTCTGCGCTGCGGCCAGGAACCCCGACGTCTGCCGTGCTACTCCTGCCCCCTGCTTCCCGAGCTCCACACACAGGACAGGCCACCGCCGGGGGCAGCACTCTTGCACCTTCTTCAGGAGCCAGACCACCCCCAGGAGACCGGTCTCGTCTCCTCCTCAGACTGAGGCCGGAGGAAGTGACCCTGCGGCTCCCGGCTCTGCCTGGACGCACCCACGCCAACCGCACACCGTGGGCCGGCCCGCGAGGCGTGGGAGCACGTGGACCCCGTGGGCCCCGCGTCCCGGCCCCGGGCAGTGGCCCTTCTCGGAGGGCGCGGAGCCCAGCGCTCCTGGGGCATCTGCGGCCGGCGGCATCGGGCGGGTGGGTGGGCCCGAAGACACACCTCCCCACCCTTCACGCCCACCCCTCCCACACGATCGTGCTCGAGCTTTCATCCCTCTGACAGCGTCGCGCCAGAGAACATGCAGGCCCTCTGATAGCATGAAATCGGACACAAAGGCGAGGGGACAAAGGCGGGCGGGCGGCCCGGCCGGCCTGGCGCTGATTCCAGTCACAAAGAGATGTTCGCAGGGCCGGGCTCGGGAAAAGCTGAAAGGAGAAGCGTGCGAAAGGGACAGGTCTCGAAGACAAAGTCCTGCCCGGCTGGTACGGCTCCCCGGGTTGGGCGTTGGTCCGCCCACAAACCTCAAGGTCACTGGTTCGATCCCGGGTCCACTGGGGGGCAGCCCCCGCAGACTGTGGGGACAGCACTTCTCCGGAACACCGGCCCAGCGATGGCACGTCGGTCCCTCACCCGTGTCCCCCGCTCTCGTCATCTGGCCAGCTTTGGTCACAGTCCAGCCGTAAACATGTCCGAAAATAGAGAGGGCCCCGCAGAACGCTCCAGCCGACACCGCGCAGGGGTCTACAGGATGCGGACGGGGAGAGGCCGCAGGCTGTGGCAGGGCCTCCCAGCCCAGTCCACGGGGAGCCGCCGCCTCCTGAGTGTGGAGTCCTCAAATGGCCCTCCCGGCCCCAGGAGACCGCGCCGACGCCGGGGGGAGACACGG